TACGCCATAGTGGTAACAGTCGCGCGACGATCGGCAGGAAGACAAAGCAAGGCGAAAGGAGCGCGGTCGAGTACGAGTGACGCGTCGGAATTTCCAACGGAGTGTGTTTCGCCTCTAGTTTCGATCGAAACTCCCAAGACTGCCGCGGCGACCAAGCAGTTGCAGCGGCCGAGAAGCAGAGTGGCCAAGCAGTGAAAGCTTGGATCGTTCGAAAGCAGCATTCCACGCGCCTGCGATGAGTCACCGTGCAGTTTCGTCTTTTCCCTGGCGTAGCAATCGACCGGTCGCGTGCCTCGAGCCTCGATCCTCCGATAATACGACGGCCGGTCGTTAGCGTTGCATCGCGCGCACGCGCGCTCCTTTCCAGGATTGGCATGCCTCCGATGATCCAACGTCGCCGCTGATCGAAACAACTACCGATTCTACGCGCGCTCCTGCCGAGAGAGAGAGACAGAGAGAGAGAGAGAGAGAGAGAATGAACGTGAACCGGCAGGCGGCTCGACTGCTGTTGTTGGTCGTGGGCGCGCTCGCGATCGGCGCCGCGATCGCCGGCCTGAACCCGCAGGGAGCCGAGTGCGGCGAGAGACGCTGCTCCACCGTCGAGTACTGCAGCCCCTACGACAAGCGTTGCAAGCCTTGCTCCTCCATCTGCGACGCAAACGGCCGCAACTATCAGCAAGACGAGTGTTTCAAAGATTGTCAAGGTGAGCGGAAAAGAAATCTTTTCTCCTCTCTCTTTTGTCGACAAGTCGCGTCTCTGTGAGTGTGCGTGTGTCACTTTCTGACTGTGGCACGAATCGATGGTTCCGGTGGATCGATGATGCCAGAGAGGTAAAAAAAAAAAGCTCAGGTAGCCGTGCACCTGAGCGCCAGGGGGGGGTTCGAGTCCGTTGACTCTACCGCTCCGCACACCTGACCATCACCACCGGCGACTCTACGCAACCACGCGACTACGCTCGATGCATGACTCATCCAAACGACCGCCTATTCGCCTCCTTTCCTTTCCTCTCTCTCTCTCTCT